CAAGATGTCGTGCCCGGGGAACAGGGGAGATTCCAAGTTTCTCCAGCCATGCAGTGAGACCGGGCAACTCCTGCAGCCAGAATAGCGACACCGGGTGTTGGTCGTCCAAATACAGGTTTTGCCAACGGGCGGCAGCTGTCAGGTCAGTTACAAACTGGGTGCCTGCCGACAGACCGAAGAAGTATGAAGTAGTCAGATCCATGGCGGTTGCTTTGTAAATGGGATAAATATCCATTGGCTTCTTGGCGTTGGCATGGTTGGCGAACTGCGGGAGAAGTCGACGTTGGACTACCTCCTGGATTATGGCCGTCGCGTCGGGTGAGGCTTGTAAAAACGATTTGGAATAGATGTTCGAGATACGCTTCTTCCGCATCGCATGTTCAGGGGAGTGTAAGGAGGAGAACATATTCAGCGCTCTGCGGAGAAGAATAAGTTAGCAGCGCGACGATACTAGGACAGCAAAACAACGTACCCATAGTTCACGAAGACAGTATAGAATGGTGGCTTCTCGAAACCCTTCCCGTACACTGTCTTGATGCCATCGTTCACACAATTAATGCTGACCTCGTTCGGCGCCAAACGGACGACCTCGCCATGCTGCTGATGTGCTCGGAGAACCGTGTTATTTTCACGAATCCGATACCTCGCCCACAAGATCCACAGGGACGTGTAAGGAGCCAATGGGTGAGCGTTAGGGATCTTCGCCAGTGGAGAAAGAAAGCTAGGGTAGATAATGAAATGGTACAGGAACAAGGCCACCAGGGCGATGCCTGCACACGCAGGGACGCTGGGCAAGATACTGGCTTCCATCGGTATAATTGTGCGAACAGGTGTAGGATGTAGGGGAGAACTAGCTAGTTATGGTGAAACTGTACTGCCATATGCTGTGATCAGAACTAAGAAGTAAGTTGGAAAATGAATATGCAGACGACATCACGCAAGCTGCCGGACATCGATATTATAGCGGCAGCACCTCTCGGAGGCCTCCGAGAGGTGCAGATTCATACCAAGATCGTCGTACAACGTACTGTCGGCTATATGCCGCCCCCGAGCATATTGCGGCTAGCTGAAGTAATGCTAATGCTTTGCTGATCATTTGGTACCTCCCAGCTTATGGGGGGAGGAGGTGGCTGTGCTTTGACATGTGTTTCTGGTCAGGAGGAGGTGCTTTGATCAGCCCTAGGGCATTAAGCAAGAACAATCAGCCCTGGCGAAGTCAGTGTTGCGCGTTCAAAACACCAGGAATGGAAAGCCAAATGTCTATCGTGACTTCTTACATTCCAGCGAGAAAAACAACGCATCTTCAGCCAGAGGATGACTGTCGGAAGCTTCCGCGGTATGCAGTTCCACTACGAAAGCCACGCACCCTACGGCGCTGTGTGTGTGGAGATCTAGGATGTCAGTTCAGCTCCCATAGTCAATGTGTTTGTTGCGTTACACAGTCGATGCTTAAAATGCCCTGTGTTGTGGACCAGATTGCAGTCTTCGAGGACATGTCCAACTCAACTTCCCACGATTTCTCCGAGACCTTCAACATCAACCCATAACCCACCCAAATCATGGCTGCTGGAACTGTTGTTACGCTGGACATGGCAAAGTTCTTCCTCGGGAGTGAGGAAGAACGAGCCCAGTTTTCTCGCGACTTATTGCAATGCTTTGCGAGCCAGGGGTTTGTTAAGCTAATCAATCACGGCGTCCCTAATGCTGCCATCGACAAGGCATTCGAATGGGTAAGAAAGTCCTTTGATTAATTTGGGTTAGTCACTAGAGGAGGTGGACTGATGGAATTGTGAGCAAAAAAGAACCGTTCCTTTTTCGAACTGCCCCAGGACATCAAGAAGAAGTATCCTCATCCACCCTGTGCTAACCCCAACCGCGGATGGGTGAGCCTCGGTCAAGAGAAGAGCTCGGCGATCAAAGATTTTGAGAAAGGGGTTTGCAAGGAGCACAAGGAGGTCTTTGATGTGAAGGTAGGTAGTATAGATCTCCATCAACAATTTTCATCCGTCTTGGTTTGCTGACCCGCCGATTCGGTAAAAGGAGTCGTTTGACATCGGAAATCCCGAAGACCCGATGTACGACAACATATGGCCGGATGAGAGTGAGGCACCAGGCTTCCGCTCTTTCTTCGAGATCTTCTACGAGCTTCTTCACGTGGCTCATTTGAACATTCTGAAGGCGCTGGAGATGGCCCTGAGCACCAAAGACCAGCCATTCGAGGTTATCAAGCACTGTATGCCCAATGTCAGCGAAATGCGCTTGAATTATTATCCCGCGGTTGATATCCGTGATCTGCGATCCGGCCACATGAGCCGCATTTCTGAGCATACGGACTTTGGGACAGTCACCCTGCTCTTCCAGGACTCCGTCGGAGGACTGGAAGTTGAGGACCAGTCCAACTTGGGCACCTACTTCCCCGTGGAGTGCGAAAACAAGCATGTCATGCTCGTCAATATTGGGGATAGCCTGCAGCGGCTAACGAATGATTACCTCACGTCGGTCAGCCATCGCGTGACGCTGCCCATCTCCGCGCGGGAGCGAGAGGAAGGACAGCTGAAGGAACGCATGTCCGTTACGTACTTTGCCAAGGTGGCTCGCGATAATTCCATCTACCCCTTCGGGCAGTTTGTGTCCGAGACCAATCCGGCCAAGTATCCCCATATGACGGCATATGAGTGGAACCAGATCAAGTTGGAAAAGATCTACGGAGCCTGTTAGATGGAGATGCCCTTTTGTGGCAAGAGAACGAGCCAACAGACAGAGACCCCGAATGAAAGGGAGCGTGGCCCCAAACCGCAAAGGATAGATTGTGCAGGTCAATTACGTGTTCCAATTTTCTGCAATGTTTGTTTCAAGATGCGGGCGAACGTTTAAAAGTCTTAGGGCCAGAGTGTATAGTTTATTATCAAGTACCCAGTCCTAGCAGCATCTTCATCAACGATTTCGGTCATACTCTGACACTCCTCACCAACAATGTACTCATAAGGCTATCTTCCTTACTGTGCTGAAATATGGGATGTTCTTAGGAAGCCAACGCAACATAACTGATTTGGCGATGTAAGTTTTCCGTAGTCTGCGCCCGCTTCGCTCACATGTAGAAAACAATGTAAAGATACAAATATTACATCAACGTCTGAGTACTGGACTGTTCTATACTGAGATTTATTCTAGTCGAGTGACCACGTGGAAGGCATGTACATACTAGTGGAAATTTCGTGTAGCGAAGCCGAAGATCCCACTTTACTTCTAGTCTTGATTAGCAGACATTGTTCACGGATCTTCTTTCAGTTTGATGATGTAATTCTCTTCTGTATGCTATTGAAACTCTAAGCACTGTTTCTATTTTCTTCTGTTCCAGGTAAAAAAAGTGATACTACTAATTAAGAAGTCATTTGCGTACATCTATCACGTGCAGGATAAATATATAAACGAAGAAGTAAAACCTACACTATACTACTTTCTAAACTTCTTTTTCTCTGTCTCTATTTCTGCGTTTTAAATTTCAATCAAATTCTCATCGAATTACATTCCTGGATATCCATGCTACAAACATCTAGGGAGGACTCCCCCTTCTTCTTACTGCTACCAATGGGTACTAGTCATACTGAAGGAAAATATCAACAGTCAATCATGGGTGGCCTGGTCGGGGCGGGAACTATGCTAGTTATGCAGATGAATATTAGTAATAGGTTTATGCACTTGTTAACTAGTACCACTCCTTCGCCCACTGTTTAAGAGAGTCCAGTTGGGAATCAGCCTTGGCAATAACTCCTGGATCAAAGGAAGGTCTTTATCAACTGCAACGTCATTGGCGCCTCCAATGTCCACGCCTCGACGTGCGAGCATATCTGCAGATAAAGGTGCGTATGCATACCCCAAAATCCCCTCCCTTTCTTCTCGGCCAATCCTTCAGAATTATTAACCAGAACCAAGACTGTCCTAAGTGCCGTACCCGTCGCATCAAATGCGACAGATCGGTCCCAGCATGCCGGAAATGCACCACACGAGGATTTCCATGTCCGGGATACGGTCTCATCCTCCGATGGGGCCAAGGAGTAGCTAGCAGAGGTAGACTGGCGGGCAGGCAGCTACCTCTACCATGCTCCCCGACTATTGCCCACTACCCTGATGCTATAACTTCCGAACTCATGTATCACTACCATCAGATTGTGTCTGCCAAGCTGGCTTGGGTGGATGGCCCGACGAACCCCTGGAGACAGGTCATCATTCCACTGGCGGGGGCATCGTCGACTGTCCTTCATGCCATGCTTGCACTTTCGTCGGAAGATCTTGCTGCGCGTTACCCGAACGACCATCCGCGTCGCCAGCAGCTGCAGGTCGCCTCTATATGCCGCCGGGATCAGGCCTTGGCTTCGGTGGCTCAGCTTCTTCGCCACATGAGGCAAAAAGGCTCTCCCTCCAATCAGGCCCAGTGCGCACTGGCCGCCACGCTCATCCTCTATAACGTCGAACTCCTCGGCGCTGCATCGGCTAAGTGGCGGATGCACTTGGAGGCCGCACGTGTGATCCGCCGATGGAAAGAACACACACTGATGGACGCCGGAGGCACGGACGAAATCGATGCCTTTTTAGTCTACGAGCAGTACTACGCCAGTGTTTTTGCTAGCCTCACTACTTTTGATGCCCTTGGGGAGTACGAGGCAATTCCGCTGACTGATTCGAATGCTATATTTAGCGACTTTGTCGACATAATCAGTCAAACGACACATATGGAGCGCTTGCAATCTAGTGATGACTATGGGATGGATTTTTCATTGCTTGACACGATGATAGGAGATTTGGAAGCCGCCAAGGCCCGCATGCTGGAGTTCAGCCTTATACTTTGCTGGCAAACCGACCAGGCCTGTCTCAGTTTCCAGCACCTGGTGTGGATCTTGTACTACGCCGGTCTAATTTATGTCCACCACGTCCTCGCTAGGAATGGTTCTCTAGATATGATATGTCAGTCTTAGAGAGATTCCATCTTTATCCATCTCGCCCTTCTCGTTGACAAGCACTCATTCGCTCATGACCTTGTGTGGCCGCTTTTCATTGCAGGCACCGAGTGCCGTGGGTGCCCGCAGAAACAGGAAGTGGTCGCACACGAGATTGAACTGGTTATGGAGGTCAGCGGCACATTGGACCGACGGAATGTCTTGTCCTTCTTGAAGCGGTTCTGGGCCTTGCCAGAAAGTGACCTCACGTGGATCCAGTTCATGAGGCTGGCACCGGAGCGACGTATGCTTATTCTTTAAGGTCGCCTACTAGGCCGGGCTAGACATTCGGAGAACGTCCTCCACATTTCTCCCCGAAAGCTTGGCTTCCTTTCGGGCCTCACGGAACCGAATGCGCCAAATGATGTGGCTGAGGTAAATTCCCAGCTCGAGTACCACACTGGTCACTGGTCAGATACTCTGAGCATATACCGCGAGGCAAGCAACGGACTCACACGACGATATACATAACCCCGCCAAGGATATCGAATGACCCTTGTGCCACTGTTGGACTCCGTTAGCATGTCGCATAATGTAAGGTATAGTAGCCATACCAAGGGCGAAAATTGAAAAGAGCCCTCCCAGCGTGTCGATGCATAAGAAGACCCAATCTATGTCGATCAGAATTCGCGCCTTCGCCCCCGGGGAACATGAGTACCACGTACTTATTCCGATCACCCGTCCTTGCCTTTTCCCCAATTCAAAGTATATTGGTAGCATGCCGCCAGCGAGAAGTACCGTGGCTATCGCACCCACCAGGAGATCCGGCCAGGTGATGCCCTTATTGTATGGGATCTGCGACCACGATCGAATTAGTCATGCAATATTTTCATGAGTAGGTAGACCAGCCATCATGCCCTTAGTGTCAAAATGAGTAGGGCTTCGACCCCACCCATGATCGCTAGGAGGCCAACACACGCGAATGTGGCTTTTTGGGAGGTGTAACTGCTGTTCTTCATGTCAGCATACAAACATAGATACCGCTTAAGCTTAGATATTTTGAGTCCTAGTGTCCAAGCATGGTTAGGTCTCACTGGTCATAATGTAGAATCTGGGCCCAGATAATGGCCGAAAAAGTCCCGAAAATCTGAGGCTGGATTTGCATCGGGAGATTGACTTCCTGGCGGTCATTGTTGTGAGCATCTCGTCTCAAGCCATAACCTGTACCTGAACGGCAAATTGAGGGATATTATTTACCTGTAGGATCAGATACACGCCCATGGGCACAGCACCTGACAGAGATCCAGTCAGTATTACTAAAATTGGCAGTCCCGTCTTCAACGCTTCTAATGGCGGATATTACTACTACACTGATATGTATATATGGATAATCAGCACGGGGGAGGGGGGAATTGATCCTTACAAATAGCCCACAAGAACCCCATTGCAGGAGGCAGCCCTTCTGTTTTCTTCCGTCGCCAGTTATACCATATCTGGGGGACAAGCTGGATACACCAGAAAACGGTGCCGATAGTGCCAAGAACATTGGATGCCGGGGTGGCGTCGGTTGATGCGGACATGAGCGGAGTGATGGGGGACCAACTTGGTTATAGGAGGCAGGCGACCTTGGGATGGCTGAACGGTCATTCGAAAGCTGAAATCAGCGTTGACCACCCTTTTCTACCCATCGCACGCAGAAACTCCATGTCCCTAAGGTAGATATCTAGTTTGTGTCTCCAAACTCTGGAGATCCGAAAGAGTGGGGCACGGTAACCAAAGTAGGCAAGTCGGGTGAGAAAAAGTTCTAGAACCATATAACATATCAGAGATTGAGAGATAGCCCATAAGCCTTCCGGGAAACAGGAGAAGGGAACAGTAACATGAGATAACCCGCACCTGATCACATCAAACTCTATAGACGTACGCATTCTCTTGCAATCTGCATTATCCGGGCATTGCAGACCCTGTGCTGTCATTGATGGTGCGTGGGTCTGCGTCCCTGAACGATCCACGTGACCGCCCAAGTGCCTAGAAACAGGCCATTTACCAGCTGTACCGGGTTTAAGCATCTTATATTGTTAATTTGTCTATAGTTAACATCATGCACTAACAGGTTGAGAATACCAATGATGTAAACCGAATGTAGTACAAACGGCTCTATTGTCGCAATTCTGTTGTGGAGCCGTGCTCTGTTTCCTGCTACCATCAACCGACTTGGAGTGCTCTCCTGAGACACGAGATAGCGATTCCGAGACAGTATTTTCCTATTCGAGTGTTGAATAGCATTGGAACACCCTCTACTAGTCATACAATCAATCTTCTATTAACATCAAAGGCTACGTAGGAAGGACCGCGCGAAGGTAGTACTACTGAATCGTGCACAGGCATGGTCCAGGTCGATGTTAGCTTAGGAAGGCGGACTAATAATTCAGCGTATTTGGGACCAGTCACATTTTTGCCTGTAAAACAGTCAAGACATTAGTTCCCCTATTGAGTATCAGTTATGGGGTGCTATTGTGACAGCATTTGAACCGTGTCTTCTGTCCCCACGTGATAAGTTATCAATGGTTAGATTTGTGGTCGTAACATCGTTGTACCTATACATTAGTGTTTGCCCTATAAAAAAATCCCAACCGTTATCGACTGATGCCAAGTCCTTTCAGTGTAGTAAAATTCCTCGCTCGCTGAGTGTGGAGGCCGTGGTCGCTGTGGTTAGACGTGAAAAATGCAAAGACCGGCTTTCAACTGCTCAGTTGCGATACCCATATGTTACCGAACTTATTCTGGACTATATATGGGGCCTGGAGAAGCACAGTTGAGGAGATATGAAGCTTACAATTATACACATATGCTGGAAATAGCTTATTGTTTTGTCACCTTCACACCTGCAACGGCACGATCCTTCGCCCCTCCCAAGTTAAGCCGAGATGTGTGCCTTCTTTACTTTCTCACCATCTACCCCCGGAACCACGCTTCACAATGAAGAAGGGGGTTCAGTTTCTTTCTTGGACTCTTCTGACCGATCATTTTGTCTGGAAGCTCGGTAGGGCTGTCAAGGCGGTTGTACTTTATTACGCCAGCGCTACGCTGCTTCTTCCTTGCGCTCCCCGGTCGCATTCTGACGTTTCCATCGTCAGGGTCAAAATCCTGCTGTATCATGGTGCTCAAGAGTAGTCCTTCCATACCTTCTAGGTATTCCTATAAACCTCTCAAATCTTGAATTGTACTTAAGGTGGGAATCCGGAGCTTTTGCCCCGGTGTTCGAAGCCCGCATCGTACACATTCGATCAACTCCCCTACCCAATACCTGGCTCCGGGACTGGAAGGGGTTGGCTCATATGAATAATTAGATTGCATATGAGAAGCGACTCAACAATGGGCGGGTCACTGGATGATCTACAATGGGTCCCAATCGGTTTCCAAATCTTGACATGAACCATGGATACCGGAGTCCCAGTCGGAATATCCGGTGAATACCACCCAGTAGTGTAAATAGCGGCATTTTGTTCGGTGTAATAAAAGCCCCGGAATTTGGAAGCGCACACTGCTCCAAACAGCCGAAAGCACTGGGAACTAGCAGCTTGCCATGCACAAAGTCGGCTCAAGCGCCGATCGCTGATCCCTAAGCATATCGCCAGTAAGCAACAGGCATCGGAGTTAAGTAATGGGTGCCGAGCAAAGTAGCCGACAAATAGAATGTCGAGCTACATTACTAGAATGTCACAAGGACTTGCTCCGATCTGCACAGGTTCAGCCGCACGCCGGCCACAGTAGTCGGGCCCTAGCTCGTCAGCACTAGCCACACTATCTATCGCTGGTGTGGCCATTAGTTCCGACCCATGACCAGCCTAAAGCTCAAAATGAATCGATCGCGCTTTCGACTCGTGAATGAAGAGAGGCAAATGCAAGGATCTGCATGTCAATTCCCGATTTCCCAAGTTTAGTGGTATTCGAGGCTTGGAGATGGGCGCATTGCATCGCAAGTGGCGGTTGCGTTGGAGTCTCAAATTTGCGGTGCTCCCAAATTTGCACAGTATGATGCTGAACATCGAATCAATGTAGTCATCACAATGTGCGAGATTGCATGACCGACCCGAGATCTATTCAGCTGCTCCCAAAGTGTACAATGCACACTTGTTCAGAGCTCCGCCATGGTTCATGGCGCTAGTTGGCAGGAGAATGAAGCGTGCGACCGCCCGACTATATATAGTTGGAAAGGTATCCTTGCTGGCATCTTTCCTCTCAATCATCACATATCTTTGATATCGCATAACAACAGCACGACTGCAGACCTTCCTCACCCAACAGCTCTTCAATATTACCACCAGTGCCCATCATGCATTTTCTGCTCCTCTTGTTCTTGGGGCTGCTGCAATTAGTCTCTGCAGCCAGATCCGGCACCTATTATGCCGGCTGGCCTGTCGGTGATAGCACATGGAAGACAACCGATACCGTCTTTCAGCGAGAGACGGGCATCTCCAGGTACCGCCTGTTCCAGGCTGACGGACTGATTTATAAGTATCAGCTCGATTTTGACGTCACCGAAAGACAAGGCGAATACGCAAGTACCTACGTGTTTTTTGACTCAGAAGGGGACGAGTATTACAAGGTGGTCTTTGTCACCGGCACTCATACCCTCAACTTTAATAGTGGGGACCCTTATATTCAGCAGGTCAAGGTTGTCGAGGATTAGTGAGTGCATGCTACCATATATACCCCAGTGATACCATGGCTGATATGGATCAGAATGACCCCCCCGTTCGTGGAGGATTGAATAAGCTGATTTCTTGCCTTATTGGGTACCCTCCAATTCTGGCACATATCACCAGACAGTGTGCTTTAGTTTTGGTACTGGTGGAACGAGGGGAATTTCTTGGGTATGTTCGAATGCGAATGGTGGCCACAGTGGAAGATAGTCCAAGAGGGAAGCAAGATCGAAGTTGTGGAGAGGGGTTGGGGGAATGAGTAGTGATACCCATTAGAATTCTAACGCAAGGTCATTGGGTCTCAGAATGTGGCGCTCGCAAAGACAGTAAAGATTCTATTGGCATTTTCAGTGACACTACATACTAGGCAGCCTTTCTCGTAGAACCTTGATCTTACAGCAAACATCCCGCACGGGAATACTGGAAACAGCGTAGGAATATCGCATTAGGAGGCTCTATATTGTAAAACAATGGCCCAATGGCAGAACATACAGGGAGCGCCCATAAATGCTTTCTCTTCAAGGCCACTGAGCGCCAATCCTGCGGCACCTACGTAAGCAAACAGCTTACGAGCACTTCAGACTTGGTGCCTAAGCTTCGAGACCGGCCGTGTTGGCCATTCAATTAAGCACTCTTCTCAGCTCGACAACACACTCGCCATTTGGTGGGTACGCCTCGAAAGTTATTTGCAACCCTGCAAAGGCCGCAAGATCCCTCCACTCCGCGCGGGTCCGTTCTCGGCCAGCATGCATCAAGATCATCGCGGCATGGGTCGTCGAACTAGCTGCATTCTTTGTAAACTCCTGAATGAGCAGACGTGAAGACGGGGCCATGACCCTGGCTACCTTGGCCAACAGCTTGATGGACTCAATATCCGACAAATTGTGGAGGACGTGAGCCATGGAATACAGCAAAGCTCCCTTAACAGGCTGCTCGCTGCCATCCTCTTTGTAATTCCAGGCCATCTCTGTGACCTCGGGAACCACACCAATGTCTGCATTGTACTCCTGCAAAATGAGGTTTTCCTTCTTTAGTAGGTGCGGGTATGCCGCTTGCATCTCCAAGAGCAGCTCGCCCCGGCCACCACCGATGTCAACTACCTGGAGTTTCTCGGGAGCCGTTGATTGAAGCAAGCCATCCAGATCATACCCGAGCTTGCGGACGCGATCGGGCATGGTGCCCCAGCGGCCAAATTTGCCCGTCATGAAAGTGTTAAAGCTATCAAGACGACCCGTGTGATGCATCACTGAATAAACATGTTCCCGAGCAAGGAAGTCATTGCCCATGAGTTTGTGTGCATACTGGAATGGAGTGTCGCACTCCTGGAACGGATACTCAAACTTGGTATCTATCAGGCGCCGCATGAGAAATGCCGCTGCCAAAAGCCCCTCGGATGTGCTGGATAGTGAGAGAACCTTGCTGTCAGCTACCGACATCACAGCTTAAGGTGTGTCGCACGGGATTCCTACAAATGCATGGCTCCATGCTGGGCAGAGGGCGTTTCCACCAAGAATCGGGTAACGTCGTTGGCCCGGTACACATCGTCTGGAAGAAGGTCTAAGAACCCTAACCCACCCATGAGGAAAAGGGTATCATCTGTGGCGTAGTCAAGCTTTGTGAGTATTGGCTCGGTCATGGGGTAGTCTACAAGAAACAACATACTGGCTAGAGGCACCGCTGCATTAGGATTGGTTCACATGGTTAGCTACACGAACGTTCCACGAAAGAAACCATTGGATGACATACACAGGTCGGTGTCACCATATTTGGTGTGATGCAAACTGCAGACCTCCTCCGCGGTGGCTGGCTTACCGATGTCTTGCAGGCAGCCGAAGAGGTCGAAATGAACAGCGATGGGCACGAACCCCAGAGAAGGGGCCTAGCAGAGGGAGAACGTGAGCGTGACCATGGAATAAAACAACCAAGGATAATATAACCCTGAGTAAGAGGCAGGGAACAGACACACCATAGTGACAGTGCTCAGGACCTTCTTCCCAGCTTCGGGGATGGGGGCATTCTGCGGAGCGGCCATGCCTGTGGAGACCTTGGATTCCGATGTTTTGCTCAAGTACAGAATTTTGGAAGAACAATGTCCTAGGATATACCCTCTAGATATAGGGAAGCCCAGGTCATCTGCTTATCATTTGTCGTTCCACGGCTAGCCATCGTCCCCCCCGCAGAATTCAATCTATCTCACGCCATTGACGATCATCTTCCAGTGATACCCAGAGCGGTGCATGCGGCATGCAAATCTAGCGCGAGGCTTATCGGACCCTAGCCGCCACCAATAAATATAGGCAGGATACCTGGCGCATGCACAATCAAACTGCCCATACCAAGCCACGAAAATGTCCTGAGCCCCTGATAGGGGCGGTGGATAATGTTTACCTATGGCTAGAACCGGTGTGCGGGAATATTGATGGCGGTCTACTGCTTACACTGGCGATAAGAAACTCTGAACCTCCATTCCACATCATATGGAGAATTGCAAGCCACCATCATTGGCGGCACGTTCGGTGATACCCGGCCATACTACGGTCTATGTCGTGCAGTCAGTAGTCAGCTTACACTTAATACAGCAAAGTCTCCATCGTGCAAACACTAGAGGAACATGATGGCTGATGACAGCGATGATAGGTTCTATAGAACTAGAACGTGGTGACACACCACGTTATGCGCAATCCGTAGATTGCCCCACTGGGCTGTGCGACGCAAGGGGCAATGACCGGCCAGTACACTTATCAGACCAGAACCAATGTACTTTCTCCCCTTGGGACGCCTCTTTCTAAGGAGAATAGCATGCCCTGTGAGCACCCCTCCCGCATTATCAAATGTTCGACCAAAATTCTATTCTCTATTGCCCTATTTTCAAACGGTTTTCAAGACTATAAGGGACAGGATACTACCGGGATCTCTATACACGTGTTGAATTCGTAGCCTGTCACTCACTTGACGGACGATGGCCAGCCAATCCTTCAGCGTTCTCTCCAGCGTGTTGGTGAACTGGTGAAGCAGTAGATCATTGCAGCGCATCACCCGTTCCTGGGTAGCCGGGATAGAGCCCGTTTCTGGTAGAACTATGTCAGCGATGAAGATCCTGCTCTTTGGTTCCAGAGCAGGCAAAATGTTGCGAAGAATCTGAACAGCTTCCTGATCCGGCCAGTCATGGAGAATTTGGCGCAGCAGATATACGGCAGCACCCTTAACTGGCTGCAAGTAGAAGAGGGAATGGGCCTGAAACCGGATGCGAGTAGTCACTGAGAGGGGCAGCTCGCGCTCTTCCAGTCGCTGGATGCTGTTAAGAACAACCTCTGGGCGGTCTTGCACCACAAAGCGAAGGCTCGGAAAGCTCTCTGCTAGGCTTACACTGACATGACCAGTAGAGCCGCCTATCTAGAGGTATTTGTTAAGTAGTGAATGGAAGGGAATCTGAGATATAGAGGCTCACATCGACTACGACCCCGTCATCGAGCGATGACCAGTCGAAACTTTTGCATAGATGCGAAGTGTCAAACAGATTGGTAGTGGACACCGCCATCATGGAATTGGCGAACTCAACCGTGCGGGCAGGATCCTGCGATATGTAGTCGAAAAAGGAGCCATGGTGGTCGAAGGCAAGATTATGCGCCGTTTCATTCAATTTATTGCTATCTGGCCAAGTAGCAGTCGCATCCACATTTTTGGCCGCAGTTGGGAAAACGGTCTCAGCAAAGTACTGGCCCCAATAGTCCAAGGTCGGGTCACCGGCTAGCTTGCGCGATACCGGGCTGTGGCCAACCATTTCCGTTGTTCCGTACTCTTGGAACAAGTGACCAGTCATGACGAGTCGTAGGTAGCTGCGCAAGAGTTTCTCTGGCACTTTTGCCATGTGAGACAGTTCTTGGTATGAGATCGTGCCATCCTGTGGCACAAAAGTGTGAATCTTGAAGTGGAGTAACCATCGCACGGCACAGATAAATTGGAGCTGGAAAATGAAACCACACATTTACTGTATTATCAGCTAACCGTCCATATACATTTGCACAGTTTCAAAGAAAGGAGGCCAAAGTAGGAAAGGATATGCGAACATCAACCGTTAAATTTGTCAGAACATCACCTGGGTCCCGGGTTAAATGGAGCAGCTGAATTGCGGCTTCCTCCAACTCAAGTTTGGCTGCGCCAATTGTTGTTGGTAGTGTGGTCTGGTTAGGCAGCATCGACGGGTCGTCTTTGAGTGACTTAAGGTGTTCGGCGATGAGGCCGGCACTAGAAGCTACCTGGCTGGCATAGCGTTCCAGTTGGGAAGAGAGACGTTCATCCATCACCGAGTGTAATCCAGTTGTTATGTCTTGCTTTTTCGACTGCAATGAACGGCAACCATGCAAGTCTGTATCGAGAAGGAGCGGGGAGGACACATACAAGCCCTTCCAAATGCTCTGAAAGTGACGGACAGAGTAACCGAAAGAAGAGGCCATTGGCGAGCCATAGCTAGATTTAAAGGGTAGGCAAGGGACGAGTGAAGGCGGAGGGCCTAGACACTGACACGATACATCAACGACACTCGGCTTGCGGTAGTTCCGTACAGCCTAGAACTGGCCGAGCCGTGTCTGGCCACAGACAGAGTCAGCTGCCAACATTCTCGGCCCTGGGTGAGACCATCAGGACAACATTCTACATTTGCAATTCCACGAAGCAGTCCCGTGGAACATGCACAATTGATCATATTTGCGCTCTCATAGGATGGTCTTAGTTTTGGCTTGCATTGCAGGCATGTCAGTCACCCCTGCTGATTCAGTTGGCTGTGACAGCTGACTGCTTTTCTTAGACACTAGTATCCGCGTTCTGGCTACCCAGCCGCCGGCTATGCTTACAGATATTCTGTCCCGGTGTTAGACGCTGCACATAGTTCAAGCGGAGCCACCGCATCTTTGCCACTGGGCGGAAGTGTGGAGTTAGACAACTGTCAAAAAGTCTCCCAGACGAACTTGGGATCCCCAACTGTGAGTGAGAGCAAAGACGGACCAGCAGATCAACGAGAACACCCTGAGCGGGAATAGGACGCGGTTCTTGCGAATGGGTACAAACTGGTATTGATCACCATTGGGCTCTTCTTCTCCACGTCTTTTACATCACTCGATTAAACCATCATGTCCACCGCGGTGCCAAAGGTCACCCAGCAGTTTCAGTTGCCGGAGGGTGTGAGTGGTATGCAAGTGCCTACCTGCTCACTACCCTCGCCGTGACACTCTCTTTCAGCCGTCTAAAAACCTTATTCCCCATGAATTGTATCAATATGAGTGGCCTCTTTGTGTTTGGACTTCGCTTCACCTCCTGCCGTATCACCCCGTCCTTGTCGGGCCTCATCCCGTCC